TGCAATCAACAGTCCCATTTGGATAATTGTCTCGATCGCACCCAGAGAAATAAGGGAAAGGATAGATTGTCCCCCTTGCACATCTGGTGGTTATTCAGAGGCAATATCAGATTTTGCACAATCTTGTTCGACAATTTGGATCAAAGTTTTGCATCGAAATCTAGCTATTTCATATCTCCAGCGTTAGTGGTGTAGCTTCATGAGTGAGAGCTTATTTGTGATGCAAAATGCAGCTTTTAATTCCTGGTACATCCCCCTAAGGAAAAAGAGACAAAAAATCTGTTCGAAAAAGGAATTGCAGAGTATTATGCGTCATAAGGTTTCAGCCTCTTCTTCCGCAGCCGCAACAACACAAAGTTTGAATTATCTTAGATCGTCAAATTTCGTTTTAAGGGGGACCATTACCGCAAAGTTTAAATCTTTATAGATACGACAAATTGATGATCTAACGGAGCCAAAGGGTCCGAAAAAGAATTCCATTAGTAGTAGTAAATCCATATTCTACGAAGCTCCCCTCGGATACAGCATCGAGGACATTTGACCAAACAGAGGCGTCGAGAAGTTCAGTTCTACTGCATAGCACTTGCAAGTCGTCTTGATGTTACTAAGCTAGCCTCTGGATCATGTCGTTTGCAGTGGTGAAATCATATTACTGCTTTAGAAATTTACTGCTTACTACTTCTTTTAGCTTTTTGCCTGCACTCCTTCTCTTCACTCTCCATCTGCCGTCTGCTGTTGCTTTGACCACACTTGTCTCAAAATGTCTCTTACTCCATCGGCAATTTGTTTCGAAGGATTCACAAAGAGGCTCGAAATCTCCTCTTCTGAGCCCAGAATCTTTGCTGAACCTGATGGAAAGGATTGCCTTCCCTTTCCAAGTCACAATTGGACAAAATTCTGACCCTGCTGAGTACACCATAGTGGCCTCACTATCAAACGATCACTTGGACTTTTATGTCTTTTCCAAGTCAAGCCTCGTTTTCCATCTGTACAAGATTTTTACCCAAACTTGCTGGACAACAAAATTGCTTCTTTCCATCTCGCCCATTGTCGTTTTCTCTTTCGGTTCATACTATGAAATACATGCGATGGAGATTCCTTTTTCCTTGGGCCAGTTCTACCCCCACCTTTGGCATGAGAAAGGCCTACATAATGGGAAATTCTAATGAACGCCAAAAATGGCATGAGTACTCAGCTTTACGTGTCGGTAGAAGCTTCTGACCCTGTTAACTCGCTCGAGATGTGCATGATTGGTTTGGGCAGAGCCTTCGTTTTGAGGCTAAAAGCTCCAGCATATGAAACATCTTGCCCGTGTATTCTTGGGAGATTTTAAGAGTGCATACATCAGATTCTGATGGTTCATATGTTTGGTCATCTAAGGTTACTGTTCGTGTATTCTTGGGAGATGGAATAAGGGGTTATCTAGCATTATTTGTTCTGGCCGTCTCTGTCTCGTGTGTCTATATATACTTCTATGTTTTTTTTTTTTCTTACTTTTTATATTATTGTTTTGTTTAGTTAGTTGTAAACCACTAGAGGCATGCTTCACGTGCAGGCAATTCTTAGGCAACTGGGGCAGTTAGGTCATGGAGGGGTTATGATCGACGAAGGCGACTTAGAACTTCATGAGCAGCTACAGTGTTTGTACAAATCGACAAGGGCAGCCAAGGTAATTTCATGGAGTCAAGTTCTATTTACCTGTGATTTTTTTACAAGCAGTTCTCTGAATCTAATGTATTGTCATTATATAACCTGGGCAGTCAAATTTAAGGAGCTTTTTGTTGCACAGCATTTCCAGAGGGATATTGTTCGTGGGTTGGAAGGATTCATATCGACAGGCAAAAAACAAATGGAGATAGGTGTGTCTCGTCATATTCTTATTTTACTTTTACTTTTTTTTAAAAAAAAAACAAAAAAAAAAATACTGGTGTTTAAAACTTTCCTCCAACGAGATTGTCAGTCAGCGGATGAATTTTGCTTTGTAGCTAGGAAGTTGGCTGAAGATTGTTGCAAGTATGGTATCGAAAATCAAGATTCTGATTCTCCACTTGCAAGGGTCGCTTCAGGCTTTGGTACATCTCATGCCTCCATGGAAGACCACAATGAAACAATGCTTGGAGTTCTTGGTTACCAGGTAAATTGTTTGGTGTTTTAGTAGATGCAGTGTTTTATTGAAATATTAAATATTTAAAGGTCGATATGTGACAAAAGTTTGGATATGATGAGATATGAGTGTCTTCTTTTCTATTGAAATACGTAGATTTGTGACAGAAGTGATAGATATGATGGTGTAGAATAATATTAGTATTATTATTATTGCTATTATTATTATTATTATTATATTATTATTATTATTATTATTATTATTATTATTATTATTATTATTTATCTTGGAGAATAAGTTAGGTTTTAGATATTATTATAAGATCTTGCTTGTTGGACAAGTTAGGAATAGGGTTTATGAGCCTTATATAAAGAACTCCACCTCTCCACCTCTTTTGTTATCTCAAGTTGATTATTAATAAAAATATAAAGTGATTGTGCGTTCTATCGAGAGAGTATCTCGTTTTATTTTTCCCACTCGTACGCTTCCCCTACATCAGTTGGTATCAGAAGTCAGCACGATTCAAGATGATGCCGTGGAAGGACGACATTGACGGGCGTGACGCCACCATTGAGTATTTGGGTCGACGAGCCACGGGCTTAGGCCCCCAGATCAATCAATTGGCACGTCGGCTTGAAGATCTTTCGACGGGATCAAAGAAGTGCGTCTTATGATCAACAACTTTGTTGAGGATTTGCAAACGAACCGTGACGTCGGCAATCGGGGTGTGCACGGGGGAGTTCGCGGAGGACGTGGAGGTCGTGGTCCAGACGGGGCGCCCCGCCGAAGATCTCCACAACCACCGTCCGGCGACAAAGACGGCGAGGAGGCCTCGGGGGTGATTCCCTTCGGCGATTATCCACCCCCGTATGTTGAGGCTGACCCCTTCGCTGCATACGGCGGCCGTGACATGCGGCAACGGGGCCCGGTCTTCGTGGACGGCGACGACCAACGCGACGACATAGGTAAGCGCGAGGAAGCTGCCATCGTCGACGGATATCGTGCCCGACGCGATTGGGAATTTGATCGTGATTATGGTCGATAGGAGGACCCGTTTCGTGTAGACATCCCCGAATTCGACGAAGAGCATGTTGACGGGCCATTGTACGATGGTCCGCCTGTGTTTGATGAAGGGTCCGAGGAGGTCGAGGTGCGTATTACCGGCGAAGTGGACGGTCTCTACGACGGTCCGCCTCTTTTCGATAAAGAGTCTCTGAGGCCCGAGGTACGCTTTCTGATTTTGGCTTGTGTAAGCCACTTGAAAAATATTTATTCATGTTACTAGAAGTTGCTGATTTTATTGCTTCGTATTCTAAAAATGAGCACCACGGGCATTTGGGCACAGAAACTGCGCTACAACAAACGCAATCATCGTTCATTGGTATGTCGCAAGATAAGAACCAAAAATGTCTTATAAGGCTAAAAATTTGATCCTCTATTTGTTATGTGATGTTATGTGAAGTTGAGCGATATTTAACCTTCGTGTTCGACCGGGGAAAATGACGGGGTTTGCTACCATGAGTTCGACACCACACGCCGGCCACAGGAGCGCATCGGCTTCGAGGGCGAAGCCTTTCGAACCGGGGGAGAATGGTGTAGAATAATATTAGTATTATTATTATTGCTATTATTATTATTATTATTATTATTATTATTATTATTATTATTATTATTATTTATCTTGGAGAATAAGTTAGGTTTTAGATATTACTAGTACTGACCCGTGCGATGCACGGGCTGGTATATTATTTGGGTTTTTTTATAATATCAACATTAAATTCAATGCACTTTGGGGATACGTAACATATATAAAATGGAAAATAATCAATTTAAAACTTCATAAATTAGTAAACACTTCTTTGTACACAACGTTTTGGGTCTGATTTGGTGGCAAGTCATCGTCATTACACACTAATATCTTCAACCCACTTCGATTTGTGACACGGGAAGCGGCAACATATAATTGCCCATGACTGAACACCGGCTTCTTAAGCAATAAACCAACATGAGATAGCGATTGTCCCTGACTCTTGTTGATAGTCATTGCATACGATACCATAACAGGAAACTGTCGCCTCTGGAACTTGAAAGGAATTCTGACATCGGAAGGAGTTATAGCCATTCTAGGAATCAATACCTTATCGCCCTCATGATCGCCAGTGAGTATCTTACACTCAATAACATGAGCGGATAGTTTTGTCACAACCAACCGTGTCCCGTTACATAAACCCATAGAATGATCCATATTCCGTAGCAACATGACGGGGGTTCCAATCTTCAAATGCAACTGATGATTAGGAATTCCCGAGCATTTGATGCTATTCAAGAACTCGGGCGTATGGATATCAGAAAGAAAATCATTATTGGAGTCGGACTTGCAAGTACTGTCAGAGCTCAAGTACGTATTACCGTCTGATAAATTCAATGATGTCATGTACTCATTGACGGACTCAACAACATCAAGCGTCGGTGCTAATATTGCCCTGTCCTTCAAATAACTGGGATCATCGGTTGTCTGCTTGAACATTGGATACGTGTTTTCTACAATTTGAGCAATTGGATCATCTGATGGTTGAAGCAATATATCCTCAGGTATGTCAATCATTG